GAGATGCGGATGTTAAGATGGATGTGTGGGAAGACAAGGTTGGATAGGATTTCGAACGAAGTTATCCGACGTCAGGTAGGCATGGCGCCGGTGGAGGATAAGTTGCGGGAAGCGAGGTTGAGATGGTTTGGGCATGTGAGACGGCGGGATGTTGATGCCCCTGTGCGGAGGTGCGAGAGGATCACGGTTATCGGGGGAAGTAGGGGAAGGGGTAGACCTAGGAAGAATTGGAAGGAGGTGATTAGGCAGGATTTAGGACTTCTCACCCTAACTGAGGATATGGCCTTAGATAGGAACCTTTGGAGGACTAGGATTAGAGTAGCTGGTTAAGAGCTCGGTGATGTAGAGGTTTTTGTAGTGTGTTGTGTTTGTTTGGTATCTTCTACTTTTGCTTGCTGGACTTTCATTTGATTGTACTTGGTGCTTTATCTTGTTATATCCTGTTATATCTTGTTATCCTGTTATATTGTGTTCTCTACCATATTTTTTGTGCAGGTTGAGCCGGGGGTCTCTTGGAAACAACCTCCCTACTTTCGAGTAAGGGCAAGTCTGCGTACACACACCCTCCCCAGACCCTACTGTAGTGGGATTCAACTGGGTTGTTGTTGTTGTTGTTGTTGTTATTGTTATGCATATGTTTTAACTTTTAACTACTATTATCCTTTTATGATTTCTATCGATGTTCTTTAAATATAGGGGTGATAAAAATACAAGTTAAGTTGGCATTGAAATTAGTTGAATGGGAACTAAATCCCACCCAACTTCTCTCTTCCTTCCACGGTCATGCACTCGTGCTGCCCTAGCAGATTCACTGCTGTTTGTGCAGCATAGGTAAGCCCATGGATCCTTCTTTGGTTGATTATCAACCTCTGATGCATAGTTTATCTCGCAACACACATCAGATATGCATACAACCATAAAGATTAATTCTCTATAATACATAATGAGTGAGAAGTTCTCTTCGTCTGGTCTCATTGGTTCTGATCTGATTTTATTAAGGTGTGGTCTGGTTCTTGTTAAATGTGAAGTTGTTTCTAATATGGATTTTGATTCCAATAAGAATAAGTAATAAGTAAGAATAATAAGTTGAAGAGAACAGAGCCTAAGCCTGCCTTGTTATAGAGATTTATTCTCTAACATTTAATGTAAATACTGTATTGCAGCTTGAAAGGGATATTTGGATAGACAAGTTTTTTGGGGACAGTAAAAGTGCTCAGATGTTGGATAGTTTAATGGTGCTCACATTCGAATACTTCATATCTTGCAAAGAGAGTGGTCGCCTTTCTCTGGTAGGTATCATTTGCATACCTTCCCCCCCCGCCCACAAAAAAACTATTGAGGTCTTTTTGGTACTTCCTTTCTTATGTATGTTTTCTGACATTGTGCAGATCTTTGATACACTACTTCACTCTTTCGAAAAAAACTGTTTTGACAGCATACAAGTCCAAATTTGCCCAGGTAGACATAAATTTATTCTATTTTTTCCTTGCATTGAGGAATTTACTCGTGGTCATTGTGATCTTATGTATTTTTCAGTTTCTTTTGTTCTATGCTTGTTCACTTGATCCCGAAAACTGTGGCAAGAGATTCGCGATCACACTCATTTATATTTTTGAGACTAGTGCCCATTTAGAATGGAGGTAAGACATAGATTTTGTCTTGTTTTGTATTTTGCCCCCCCACCCCTCTATTTTCTTCTTTTTTTCCCTTTTTGGTTATGAAATGTTGTGTTTGGTTCATGCAGAATGAGTGCTGTCGCTTATCTTGCTAGTTACCTAGCACGTGCAAAGTTTATGGACTTGCCATTTGTTGCTGACTGTTTGGAAATGTATTCCCTTGCAAAATTCTTAGTCGTAGGTGCTCCTTATGGTGTAAGGAAGGATTGATCTTATATTTCTGATAATTTTTTGTGGTCTACTTTCTTATGATGCTTCAGGTTGGTGAATTGGTGTTATAATTATAGCAAAATTAGGACCGATGAGATTAATCCAAATCCTAAAGCTCACAAGAATTTCTATGCGGGATGTCAAGTAAGTGATTAATTGATATTCTGCATTTATTAATTCTTTATTAATTTCTGAAAATCTTAATCCATTTTGTTATGAATGAAATGTTTTTATTTGATCTTACATGCATGCATACATACATACATACATATATATATATATATATATATATATATATATATATATGTTTTTATCACCCCTATATTTAAAGAACATCGATATTGCAAGAACAATACGGACCTCCGGAGGTCCGTATTGTTCTTGCAATATCTTGACCAATTCCTCCAATGTTTTTATCTTGACCAATGCTTTGGCTTTGCACGGTTTTTTATGTAAGATGTAAACTGCTTTGACTTTTTAATTATCCCCTTCTTCCAATTATTCTGTTTTCCTCCGTGTTCTATCCTCAAACCAAACCTGTTGGCCTTCTTCATCAAGATCTTGCCGCACTGCCGCTCCTTTGGCTGATGCCCCTCAACAAGCCTAAGGTTACGCCAGAAGGAGGAAGGAGAGAAGAATGGGAGAGGGAGGAGTTGACGAAGAAGAACAAATTGAAGAACTAAAAATCAAAATCGAAGGAGCGAGAACAAATTGATAGGGGGTGGGGTGGGGGAGAGTGTGTTGACGAAGAAAGGAGAGAAGAACACTTGAAAGCTTTTCCCATCGTCACCAACCTTGGAAGAATATACAGCTCTTGGCTTGTTTCCCATTGTCATCACCGGCTTTGGAAGATCTCTCTTCCTACTTGTTGGAAGACAACTGATACAGAGGTGACACAGTGCAGTAGACGTCGGGCGGCAGCAGTGATGAGATGTGCAACGATGAAATCTGAATAAGACTAAGCCACTGCTCACTTATCAGCGGCGCAGGAATAAGCATTTGACTTAGTCATGTTTTATGACTTGGTCATGTTTATTTATTTATTTACCTAAATATGAGTCTATCCCTTTATATTAGTAATTGAGTCAGTCAAAGTTGTTAGTCATTTAAAATATCCCTTTTTATTAGCAATTGGGTCAGTCAAAGTTGTTAG